AACCGATGCACTCCCCAACGTGCCTTGCTGTAAAACGTCACCCACCAAAAGCGTGTCGTGACCAGGTGGCGATGACCTCTGCGTCCGCGCAAAATTCCCGCGCCCTTGAAAAGCGGGCAAGAATGCACCCATCCCGGGGCATATGTGACGTGGATCTACAGGGAAACGTGCTATCCACCGCACCCTTCCTCACTGGCTGTCCCTCCTTCTGCGGTGGCTCCATTGGCCCCGAGCGTCTCGCAGTCCTCAGTGGGAGTTTTTGCGCCTCATGGCGTTGGCGCGGGTGGCTCGACGCACAGCTGCACTCCGCTCTGCTGGCGCAGAGCCGTCCGCAGCTCCTGATAGTGAGTAGCAGGTGCAGTCAGCAGCGGTCCCTCATTGCCCACCGTGACAGACGGGGCCGTCTGCGCGATTTGGTCCAAGCGATCCATGACGTCAGCGACGTTCTGCCCAGCTGCTGCGTTGCTGGCTCCGTCCATTACCATGATGTCGAACCTGCCCGTCGCGACCTCGCTGCTACTAATTTGTGCGAGGTCCTTGCTTTCCTGCAGCAGCTCGGCATTCTTGGCGTCGCACTCCTCCTTGAGCTTGCTGGCATGTCCCTGCAATCTGCTGACCTCCACGGACTTGTTCGGTTCGCGGTCAATGGCCCGGCGGGCCAGGTCGTCGGGCGCGCGCTGCGCCGCCTCAGTGGTTTCAGCGGCCGACAACACCGTCCTCGCTGCGATGATGAGGCCACTGGAGCCGTCAGAGCGCTTCCGATGCGTTTTCGAACGCGCATGGCTACCGTGCTGGGTCCGGCCCCAAGATCGTGGGACCATTCGCCTCCGCCATGACCGCGCCTGACGCATGGCGCGTTCGACAATGTTCCGCTGGCTGACGAAGCCTTGCGCTGGCGACGCTCGGGTGGCCCAGCTGGGTCGGGCTGCCCGCTATTGTCTACACCGCACATGTAACACCCCTCGTTCGTAGAGAGGTTGCGAGAGAAACCGCGCTGCCTGCTAGCAACGCTAGCCCGAAAAAAAAAAAACGTCCCGTTCTTCTCAGTCTCTGTTCAGGTCCTTCTCGCCCACTCATGGAGATGGCAGATCTGTGGTCTCGTCAAAGGTGCCGTCTTCTGTCGTCCAGCTTCGGCCAATATCTCGCTAGGTTCCTCCTGCGTCTGAGGCGCCGGTGCCATCTGGTGATGGTGATCTGGCCCTTGTCGCCGTACTCCCGCAGCACTTTGCGGGGCGCGAAAAGGGAGGGCCTCAACACTCAAAAGGTACTGGCACAAGTCGCATGGCCTATCGCAGACGGGCCTTGCTCGGGTCGCGGTCTGGCGGGCTGTGCCGAAAAGGGGGTCGCCTCGGACAGCAGTGCCTGGCAGGAGGGGGAGGGGGAAAAGGAGGATGAGGGTGAGGAGGGGCAACAGGAGGACCAAAAGAGGGGTCTTCGAATCGCCGAGCATGCGCTCCAGGACGCCCAAATGGCCCCGAGACGGCCTCAGGAAGCCTCCCAAACGCCCCAAGGGAGCCCTGAGAGTCTTCCCAGGTGGGTCCCAAGAGGCCTAATCATTGACTTCCCGCTGGTGTTTCAATGTTTGCGCGTTCTCGCCGTTTCGTAGTCCCGGCACGCCGGGACGGCCCAAGAGGCCGCCCAGGGCGCCCCTGGACGCACCGAGATGCCCTCCAAGAACGCACCAAGACGATCCAGCAAGGTCCAAGGCGGCCCAAGAGGCGCCCAATACAGCCCAAGAAGGCCCCAAGGTGGCCCCAAGAGAGGCCCAAGAGCGGGAATCCGAACCGACAGTTCGAGCCTTCCGTCTGAAGATGACCCAAGGACACCCCGAGATGCATCCGAGAGGCCCCAAAAGAACCCCAGGAGGCCCCCGAGGCCCGAAAACGGCACCCTGAGGCTTCAAAACTGTTTCAAAACTGCTTCCACGAGGCCCCCGAGAGCCCCCCCGCGACATCCCAACGAACATCCTGGAGGCCTGAGGCCTACAACCCAGGCACGGTGGCGGGATGGACCGCAGGCCATCCGACTGCCACGAACTCATCCACGCACTTCCAAGATGCCCGAGGTGAAATTTCAGATGGATGGAGAAAAAGACCCACGAGACCTCCACAATATAGAAAGCGGCTGTAGGCAGCGTGAGCGGTCACTGAAACGAGCGTGAGCTGTAGGCAGCGTGAGCGGCTGTAGGTAATGACCCCGGAGTGCTCGACGAGAACCCCGAACACTTCAGACAATGAAAGCCATCAGAAGGAGCTCGCCAGCAAACATGGCCCACAATGCCCAACACTGGCCTCACCCTCCGAAACAACTTCAGCAAGGACGCCTCCAGGAGCCCAAGCGAGGCCCGAACACGCACATCTGAGCAGCCTCCAGAAGCCCGCGAAAGCAACACGGCAAGAGGAAAGCACAGCTCCCAAAAGTATGCCACACGACCCCCCGAACGCCCCTCGATGGACCTCGACGCGAGAACGTATCCAAAAGGGTCGGCGGATGTGGCGCATGCCGCAAAACTACTCCAGGGCTGTGGGACGGGATAGGGGGAATGGGCATGTCAGATGTGGCGCGGTCGCACCTAGTCCGTCTCTTCACCAATTCCTCTTTTCCTCCCCTCCCCACCCCTCCCTCGCCGCGCTCCCCTCGTTTCTCTCCTGATCATGTCCACCTGCTGCGTCGCCTCTCCTGCGTACTGCTTTCACTAGACAAGGACGCAGGACACCTGTCATGTGTATACTTATTCGTTCAATCGGAGCGCTCAGTCAAAAACGGTCGCCACGCCAAACTGTGCGCCACATTTCAGCATCGGCGCGTTGCCCCCGTCGGTCAGATCGGTGCTCCCGCCCCAGCGCGAGCCGCTCTTCTGGATCCGCCTCCTGCCCCGTCGCTGCCGCCCCCCCCCCTTCGGCCTCCTCCGACGTCTCGGCCCCTGGTGCTCTGGCCCATCCTGCTTCTCCTGCTCTGCACTACTGAAACTGACCCTCCTCCTTCCTCGTCCTCCACCTGGTCCTCCTGTTCGTCCTTCTACTCAGATGCCTCCTCTTCCTCCTCCTCCTCCTCCTCCTCCTCCTCCTCTTCCTCTTCCCTCTCTCCTCCTCCTCGTCCACCTCCTCCTCCTCCTCCTCCTCCTCCTTTTCCTCCTCCTCCTCCTCCTCCTCCTCCTCCTCCTCCTCCTCCTCCTCCCCCTCCTCCTCCTCCCCCTTCCTCCTCCTCCTCCTCCTCCTCCCTCCTCTACTTTCTCTTTACAAAGCCCCCACGCCCATCCGCCAAGGTGTTTGCTCATCACACGATGGAGTAAGTGAGGGGAGCAGGGTCCGCTAGGGCGCCCGTCGGCGGATAATACTAATTCGAGTCATGGTAGTTACTGGACTGGAAGAGGAGAGGAATACAACTACGGCGCGAGTGCAACAGACTTGCCTCCCACTCGTCTCCCCTCCCCACTCCACCCCCCGCCCCCCGCCACTCCTTCCTCACTCCTCCCCCCTCCGGCCACTCCTTCCTCACTGGGCTGGAAGAGGGGGAATACAGCTACGGCGCGAGTGCACCCGACTTGCCCCCCACGCATATCCCCTCCCCAATCCCCCCCCCCCCCCCTCCGCCACTCCTTCCTCACTCCTCCCCCTCTTTCCAATCACATGGTGCGAATACTGCTCTCCTCTCTCTCCCGCGACGACGACGTGGCGCGCCCCCCTCCGCGTGTTTTTTGGTTTCTCCTGGGCGCAGGATTGGTGCCAGCTGTTTTACCCCCGTTGTGCGCTTCAATCCGAGGGATTTCTGTCCTTCCAAATTGGCGCTCCCGCTGCAGGAGGAGGAGGAAGAGGAGGAGCAGGAGGAGGAGGAGAAGGAGGAGGAGGAGGAGGAGGAGGAGGAAGAGGAGGAGGAGGAGGAGGAGGAGGAGGAGGAGGGGAGCGGAGGAGGAGGAGGGGGAGCGGGAGGAGGAGAGGAGGAGGGGGGGGAGGCGAGGGGAGGAGGAGGGAGGAGGAAGGAGGGGGAGGAGGAGGCAGGAGGAGGAGGAGGAGGAGGAGGAGGAGGAGGAGGAGGAGGAGGAGGAGGAGGAGGAGGAGGGAGGAGGGAGGAGGGAGGAGAGGCGACGATCAACAACGGGTCTTGCGCGAGAGGAGGCAGCGACCTCCCGCGGCGGCCTGCGCGGGCCGCTGGGCGCGGCACGCTGCAGTGGAGGCGAGGGCGCTCGCGCGCGGCCCTGCGCGGGCAGCTTGCGCGCCAGTGCCGGCGCAGACGACCCCGCCTTCCTGCGTCGCCCAAGATGGCCCTCCCGCTGCAGTGTTTGCCTCCCGGTCTGGTCGGCGCTCGGCTCCCGTCGGCCAGAGACTGGCGCTCTCGCCCCCGCGCGGGCCACATTTCTGGATCCGCGCGTCTCATCGTCGTTGTCGCCCTCGATCCTGTACCCTCGCAAAAATCTTCTCCTGGTCCTCCTGTCTCTCCCGCTTTCTCCAGTTCCTGTTGCTGCAGTTCCTACTGGACCTCCTCCTTCCTCATCCTTCTCTTCTTCCTGCTCCTCCTCCTGCTCATCCGCCACCTCCTCCTGCAATGTACACAACTCCCCTTTTTCAGATTGTCCGTAACACGAGCGGTTCCGTTTGGGTGATTCAGGTCAATTATGACAACCGTTGGCAAAAATAGAGAAGCATGTGAGGGAGGGGTCGGATACCAGATGTGGCGAGAGCGCACCTACCTTGCCTCACCGTCTCTCCTCCTTCCCTTCCCGTCCCGCTCCCTTTGCACCTCTCCCTCCTCAACCGCCCCGATTCGCAACACGCAACACGTAGCGCACTGATACGGAGCTCGACACGTAGACTGAAAACGTTGGCCTGACGCGAAACAATCGCCGAAACGTGGGCCCACACGGTGAGCCAACACGCAACGGGCCATCACGGACATTTTGAGCACGGTACATGTTGCGTTTCAAAACGGGCGTGTCAGGGCAGCTCAGTCTCCCCCTCCCGAGGAGCAGGAAGGAACCGATGCGACAGGCCGCGCGCGCGATCCTGGGGGAAGTTGGCCAGGTTGGGGAGCGGCGCCTCCGAAGGGCGGCCAGGGCCCTCCTCTTCTGTTTGCTGCAGCTTTTGCTGCTGCTGCTGCTGCTGCTCCTCCTCATCCTCTTCGCTTTGCTCCCCTTCCCCCCCCCTCGCCAGGACGAGGATAACATCGGGCGAAGAGATCTCGGGCGCCGCGGCCTTCTCGGAGCGTTCCCGAACGCTCTGAGAGCGTTCTGGAAATCTCTGGGATTGATTGATCCTCGTCCTAGCCCCGTCCGATTCTTACCCTCCTCCATCCCCTGCTGCTTCTCCTCTCCGCTCGGATTCGGCAGTGCTCTGCGCCCGCTCTGGCTGGTCTTCGAGGCGGTCGGCAATGGTCCGCGTCCGTCCAGCTGGTCTTCGAGGCGTCTGGCAAGTGCCTTGCGCCCGATCTCTGTCGCAGCACATGCGACCACGAGGAGGTCGTAATGCAGCACCGCAAGGATCAAGGCTGATCATGAGTGGAGGTGGCCACGCTGGGCAGCGAGCCACCTCTCTCGACCACATCGGCGCGCTCCCCGGGGCTCGCGGCCGGGCGGTTCCCTCCGTCGCGCTGGCTGCGCCGTCGGGAAGCTCCTCGTGCCTTGGACGGGCTCCTCTCTCCCCGCCCCCCTCGCTCGCTCGCTCGCTTGCTCGCTGAGGGCACAAAGAGGGCTCGAAGCCCATGCATACTGTAGAAAGAGGGAAGGCGAAGACAGTACCCCCTATCATGCACGTGCAGGAGAGGGGAGGGGAACCAAGCCGACAGCTCACCTGCCTCCTCGAGCTAGGGCGCAGGGGCGAGGACACGATCACGATGCGTGCGCCCACCCCCCCCTCGGAGACGCGCTGGCGTGGGGCAGGGATCCGCGGGCCCGGCGCGTGGGAGCCAGAGGCCCGCGGAGCGGGCAGGGCACCCCGCAGAGCACGGAGGCCAGTGCCGCCTCCTTCGGCGACGCACCCTGCCGATTTCGGTTGGAGACGGGGCCCGTCGCTTACTTGTATATATACATATATATATATATGTATATGTGTGTATATACATACATACATACATACATACATACATACATACATACATACATATATAGATATGTGAGCGTGTGCAGATATATATAGATCTATAATCTAATATAATAATAATATATATACATCTTGATATACAACACGAAAACAAATAATAGTATATGTTTGAATCTTCTTCCTGTAGAGGGACACGCCCGACTTGAACCCATGCATGCGATGCCATGGTCCTCCTCTCACTTTTCCCCCCTTATCCTCCCTTCTCCTCCTTCCTTGTGTCCTGCCGCTGGCGCGTCTGCTTTGCAAAGGGGGCGAGCCAGGTCAAGAACACTTGCAAACGCCTCCCACATGTGCCCCAACGTCGGGCGAACCAGCGAGCACGCCTTGCTAAGTTGGAGCGTGGTCTGCATCATACCTGTGTTGGCTTCAATTACATAGCGGGGGGGCAGATCTGCTGCATGTTGCCAGCGTGGACCCCGAAACGTGTCTTTGCACTATGGATAAGAAGTTTCAATTGTACAATCCCTGTGGTGAAACCAAGATGGTGCAATTACGCTTGGCCGCATTCGCGAGTGACCACCTCCAACATTCGTACGAACATCCAACCCGCCTGCCCGCAACTTGCTTGCACACCTCACCTGAGCGACGGCACCAGCGATGAGGATAATGATGTTCATAGCAACTGTGAGGGTGAGTCGATGGCGACGATGGTGATGGTGAGAACGCTGATGGTGATGATAAGGACGGAGGCAATTATGACCCTGGCGATGATGACGACGATGATGCTTGTGGGGATCACGAGGGACGCGCGCGCAGAAGTTTGACGAGGGCGACGACGTCGTCGACGATGACGGTGATTATGATGATGATAGCAGTGGCGAGTATGGGACGGCGACGATGGTGAGTACGATGATGACGATGGCAATGACGGTGCGGGCGATGGTGATCACGATGGTGCTGCTGATGAAGTTGATGCCGCTGCTGATGACGCTGCTGATGCTGATGTTGACGATGACGATGGTGATGATGATAAAGATGATGATGACGATGGTGATGATGGTGAAGATGATCATGATGATGATGATGCTGATGATGATGACGAACATGATGATGAGGAAGATGAGGATTATGATGATGATGATGATGCTGATGATGATGATGCTGTTGCTCATGGTGATAGCGAACAATCAGAGTTAGGGGGCCGAACGGTCATTCACGGTCCCTGGGTGCGTGGCTGACTGGATTTCGCGATGCGGAGTATTGTTGTTGGTGGTGTTGCGGTTTGTTTGTTTGTTGTTGATCGTATCGTTGTTGTTGCTGCTGTTGTTGTTGTTGTTGTTGTTGTTGTTGTTGTTGTTGTTGTTGTGCGTCGTCCCCCCCGCGACCCAGCCCGCGACCCGCTCGCGCACCACCCCGCGACCTGACCGCGACCCACCCGCGACCGACCCACCCTGGACCCGGCCCGCGACCCGGTCCGCGACCCACCCGCGACCCACCCGCGACCCACCCGCGACTCACCCCGCGACCCACCCACAAAACTTTGACGAAAAATCGGCGCGTGCGGCTGCTCGTTGTATAATTTGTCAAAATTCAGCTCCTGCGGCGGGCTTCGTCAGAGCCTCGCAGACTGCAGACGTCCCCGCCGCCCCCTCACTCTTATCCGCCACTGCGGGGGGCTACGGTAATAATACAAGCGCGCTCACGCAAACACTCAAAAAGCCTGAATTGTGTTCAAGTGACTGGCACATTGATTTTCGTATGTGTTCGAACGCCGCTGTCTTGAAACACTTCGAGCGCCAATGGTTTTGGAAGGGCTTCGACGTGCATGCGCGAGGAGACGTGCGCGTGGCCCGCATGGTATCATTTGACAAGAGTGGCGGGTCGTTCGAGGTCCGCCGCCTCCTCCTTCCTCCCCGCCCCCCTCCCCTCCTTCAGGTTGGGGTGCGGTGCCTCCGATGGGGCGGCTGGGATGGCGCCGAGGAGGCTCCCGGCTCGCCGGCTCGAGGCACGGGAATCGAGGCTCAAGGCTCGAAGAGCAGGTTCCAGGCTCGAGGCTCAAGGATCGAGGCTGTCGGGTGCCTCTGGGCTCTTCAGTGGCCTCCAATGATCTCCAGAGGCTTCGCGGGGCCTCTTGGTCGTCGGTGCCATCGTGGTCGTGGTCCTGGTCGTGATGGTGGTTGTGGTGATCGTAGTGGTGGCAATGGGGGCGCGCGGGATTCTCGGATCGGCGGTGGGTCCCCCTCCCTGGCGCGCGGAGCGCACCAGGGGCCGTGCGGGGGGGGGCGCCAGGCTGGAGGGGGGGGCCAGCGCCGACCAAAGAAAACCGCGCGATGTTCCGAACAATGATGTTCATTTGACTGTTACCCTAAATCGATCCTCACCATTCTCGAGCGCCTTCTCCTCCTTGTCCTTTCGCGCAAGCTATCGGTTTCGAATCCGCGCCGAATCCATGGCGAACGTATCGAACCCGTGTCGAATCTGCGTCGAGTCCACGCCGAATCCGCGTCGAGCCCATGTCGGACTCGCGGCGGAAACAAGAGAAGACCGAAACATACTGGACAGACAAGGCCCCCCGACGATTCAAAGTAACCTTTGGCATTTGTTCGTCCAGGCGCCACGGAGCAAGAGACAACGGAAGAAGCAGGAGAGCCTGAATGCTGTACAAGTCTGGCTTTCCCTGAGTTGCACAGGAGTTGGATAGGGGAGGAAAGGCCGAGGAGGAGGAGGATGATGATAAGGAGGACGAGGGCGAGGACATAAACAAATCGCATAAGTAATTCGCGCGTGTGGTGTTGAGGAAATTGTGCCGAGCCCTTGGCGACAAGCGGTCCAGGGAAACGCTCTTCTCCCCGCCCATCCCCGCGCGGCGTTTTGTCCAAGGAGCCCCAAGAAGCCCGAGGAGCCCCCGAGAGGTCCAATGCAGGCCCCAGGAGGCCCCAAAGAGGCCCGGAGAGGCCCCAAGACACTCCCAAAACCGCCGCCTCCAACAGGCTTCCGAGAGGCCTCCCACGAGATCCTCACAGGCATCCAGGAAGCCCTGGCCATCGCTTGGACGTCCTTTCCCTGTGCATTTTTCGATTTCGTGCGCGATTTTTGTCGCAATGTTATCCTAGATGCTCCTCGATGGTGCCCGCCGAGAATAATGCACAGGTCCGAGCGATGCCAAGGGCCTCCCACCTACCACCTGGGCACGCTGGCGGGATTTGCCGAAAGGGCAACGCTTAGGGCGGGCATGTTCTCCCACAAGCGGATCTTGGAAGAAACTCAGAAATAGTCAGAAAATGTTCAAAAATAGTGAGTTATAGTAAGAAGAAGACGTCCCCAGAATATTTGTCGACAATTTGTTTGATATTCCTCCTGTAGAGGGACAGGCCCGACTTCAGGCAACGCTCTCCTCCCCACTCCCCCCCGCGGGGGCCTTGTCCGAGGGCCCCAGCGACGCGCCGGAGCCGCCGGAGCAGGCGGCGCGCAGCCGCTCCTGCGTGGGGGGCGGGCAAGCAGCTGCCGCCGCCGCCGCGTGCCTCCTGCCGCTCGCCGTTTTCGTCGTCGTCGTCGTCGTCGTCGCCGCCGCCGCCGCCGCCGCCGCCGCCGCCGCGTCGTCGTCGTCGTCGTCGTCGTCTTCGTCGTCGTGATCGTCGTGGTCGTCGTCGTCGTCGTCGTCGTCGTCGTCGTCGTCGTCGTCGTCGTCGTCGTTGTCGCCGAGCCGCCACCGCCGCCGCCGCGGCGTCGGCGGCGTCGTCGGCGTCGTCGTCTCCGTCTTCGTCATCGTCGTCGTCGTTCGTCGTCGTCGTCGTCGCCGCCGCCGCCGCCGCCGCCGTCTCCGCCGCGGCGGCGTCGACCTCGTCGTCGACGTCGTCGCCGCCGTGGCGTCGTCAGCGGTTGACGACCGACGACCTTTTCGGTCCTCTGGGGTTTGGGGGCGACGACCCAGGGGTTTTGCCGGTCCACCCCCGGTGGGCTCGTCACAATAAAACCCTTGGAATCGATCCCCAGGGCTTGCAAGTCCCGACTCCGACGGAAGCGGGCTCCGGAGAGAACCCCAGTCAGATCTGAGGGAACCCTGAGGAGTCCAAAAAGAACCCTGAGGGGTCTAGAGTGAGCCTGGGGAGCCTGGGAGAACCCTGGGGAATCCTGGGGGAACCCTGAGGAGCCCTGAGATAATCCGAACGGAATCAGAAGATCCTCAGGGTGAAGGGCTCAGGGTGAAATCCATATGGGCTTTCGCCCCTCGTAATTCAATCCGTCTTGTGATTCACCTGTTGCAGATTCAAACCTCGGAAATCAATCGCAACGGCATTCCAAAATTCACCCTTTGCCTTCCACCAAGAGAAACTGCTAGGAAAAGAACTGTTCAGGTCCACCCCTGAACTGTAGCACCCCTATCGGGATTCTCGGCCGCCCCGAGCTCCCTCGCGGCGCTCTTGAGCTCCTCCCTGCGCTGGCTCTGCTTCTCCTGCGCCTCGCCCCGAGGTCTTTCCGCGGAGGGATCGGGGGAGCCCTCCTCGTCTCCTCGTCTTTCTTCTCCTCCTCTCGTCCTCGTCCTCCTCCTCCTCCTCCTCCTCCTCCTCCTTTGGCGGACCATGAGTCGGTCCCGCGTGAGCGCCGCATGGCGGACAGAAAGTTGAGAGGTGTAGCTGCCGAGCTGCTCAGAGGGCTCAGTCAACCCAGTTCTCAGTCTATGGAAGGTCGAGCGAGCCAGTGCAACAGGATCGCGGGCTACGTTTGCAGACAGATGGAAGGGGGGCGCGGAGGAGAACGGGCGGACGAACCCCTCTGGAGCTGGTGTCTCTGTCAAGGCTGCTGTAGTGCTCCAGGGCCGAGCTGTACTGGGAAGGCTGACAGGGGGGGGGCATGGAGGACGGGGAAAACGATGACCAGGAGGAGGAGGAGGAGGACGACGACGAGGAGGACTACTTGAGGCGATATGGCTCCGGGGTATCTTGACCCAGTCGGTGGGCCAGATCTCCTGGTGTCGCTACCCTCGAGATCACCGTGGACGCAAACGTCCATCGTGGTTGGCACTTGAGGTCAGGAGATTCCTCGGGCAAATTGAGGGCCTGCGCTGGGCGCTTCAAAGCAATGCCGCTGGCTCAGTCCACTTTTAGGTCGGGCCTGTTCCCCTACAGGGGGATTTTAGGCAACATTTCTTTTTAAGCGCCCCCCAAATCTACCAAACATGCTCCAAACTACCAAAAAACATCGTCCCCAGACAATTTTGGGACTATTTTGGAGTATCCCGCCTGCAGAGGGACAGGCCCGACTTAAGTCCACTTGCGATCCCCTGCCTACAGCACAGTGCGGCAGCAGTGTGGCTTGGGCCTGGTGCCCCCCGAGAGACAGGTGGGGCAACGGGGGGCTGCCTGCGATGTGGCCCGCGCCGGACCACGGGAAGCTCAGGAACAACTCCCCCAAGCTTTCCCGGGGCCCGGTGGGTGCAGCGCCCGCAACGGCAGGGTGGTCGGCTCTGCTGGGCCCATCCCGGCAGGCCACAAACGCTCGCCCGAACCTGCGAGATGCGCGGATTTGAAGGGGGACGCGAGGGGCGAAAAGAAGCAGGGCATGCACAGCCGAAAATAGAACCAAGACAATCATACTTTAAAAAGATATCTGGGCCAGCTTCCGGGAAGTTTCTTCAAACAAGCATGGGCCAACTTCTGTTGTTAACGCTGGGGGGCCGAAGGTGCTCAAGAAACTGGGCCAGCTTTCCGGCAAGTTGGCGAAGAAGCTGGCCCAGCTTTCTGGGAAGAGGTTCCTTAAAGAGATGCCTGGCTGTAGGGAAACGGTGGGCCAATCTTCATCAAGGTCCACCATCAAACCAGGCCCGAGTCTATGTGGCACAACACAGCAGCTTCCCTTTGGCATCTGGGGTTGAGGTGCGGCATGGGCTCCCTCACCAGACGAGGCTAGTCCCCCTGCCAACTGAAATGGTTCTTCTTCAAACCAACAGCTTCTCCCCGCCCTAGGTCGGGGGGGGTCGCCGGTCGCGTTTCCTGACGCCGCCCTCGCAATTGTCTGACACGCATGCGGCGTTGAAGGTCGGGGTGAGCCTGAGATTCCCTCTTAGGGAAGGAAAAAACACCATAAGCATAAACTTTTGGCGCTCCGCGCGGATTTCTTGGGTCTGCACTGGGCCCCCCTCTCCGGCGCGCGGAGCGCGCCAGGGGTGGCGCCGGAGGCGCAGCCAAGGGGGCCCCAGCGCGGAGTCCAGAAACTTGCGCGGAGCGCCACAAGTTTACGTTTATGGCGTTTCTTCTTCGAGCTCTGGCGACCACATGTTGTAACCCTCGGGGGGGGGAAAACGAAGTGAGGTTTTGTTCAACTCCCCCTGGTGGCCCCAAGCCGGACTTCGAGAGCCTGGCCGCCCGCCCGGCACGCCCGACACAACAGGGGCCTGCCCTTGACGTATACCGGGGCGGTTTTTGCGGGCCCAGCCTGCTTTTGAGCAGGGGCCGGCCGCCCCAGCATTCGTATAGGCCTACCACGGAGTTTTCTCAGAACTAAGCATCTTCGAAAAACAAGGCGGTGTGCTTGGAACATAAGCCCGATGTATTGAAACAAAGCAGCCTCGGCGAGAAATGTTCCGACCACATGTCGCGCAAACCACACAAACATTATTGGAACATGTTCTGGTCGGCCTATAAGGAAACCGGGACGCTTCGCCGGTGCTTGACACCTGCCAGCTCCGCCAGGCGGAGTTGGACCAGGGGCTTCCAGGGCCCCCGCTTGGAGCTTGGATTCCAAAGTGGGTCTGTTAGTATAGAGAAGGTCATGCAACAAACGTTGCGACACATATTCTGCGTATCTGTGCATATGCAGTCTGGCAAATCGGGGCGGCATCATCGCGACGCCAAAGGGCGTCGCGGACTCGAGCCTTTGGCCTGGAAGCACGAAACGCACGATTACCCATATCATGAAGTTCTGCAACCAGTCACTGTGTTCTGGGGGTGCACAGACACGCAGAACACTGTTCAGCTAATCGTTAGCTGGCGCCCGCCTCGAACTCATGCCCCACCCCCCGCCTCTTCCAAATATCCCTTCGCTGTGGCCCCACCCTCCTCATGCCCCTCCGACTGCCCCGGTCCTCGTCGTGCCCTTCATCCACGCTGCTCCCCCCCATGTGCCAATTCACGTCGTCCCTCGTCGTCCTCCTGCGCCGGATTCGTTCCCCCATCGTCTACATGCCCGCCCCCCTCCCATCCTCTACGCCTTAATGCGCATCATGCCCCCAACTTCTGCCCGTCCCCCGCCTCCCTCGCCCTCGTGATGCTGACACCGATGATGCAGATCCTCCTGGGCTCATTTCCTCCGCTCTCGTCCAGTCCCGTTCATCCTTGGCCCCTCGGCCACCCCCCCTATCGAACCCCTTCCTTCCCACAGCCCACCATCCACACACCACCCGCGCCTTTGCATGCCCAGACCACGGCCCCCTCCTGGACCAGCCCGGAGACCCGCGGAAACTCCCGCCCATAGACCACTCCAGCGAACGGCGCGCAACAAATGCACAGTTGGAGACACGAACTGTGTATTTCGACCGCGCACGACGCTCCCCCTGGACCAGCCGGAAGAGAAACGCGAAAGTTCCCGCCCATTCAACACCACCCGCGAGGGACACACTCCAAATACACAGATGGGAACGAGATCTGTGTACACACATCACACCACGATCTGTGTAAACAGCGGGCCCACACACGAAAATACACAGTTGAAGACACAAACTGTGTACACAGATCACACCTTGATCTGTGTATTTAGGAAAAGTAAACGCTCGCCACCTCGAGGGCGCCCCGACTTTGCCAGCCCAAAACCGAGGTTGACATGCCCAGTTGGGGGGGAATGCGAATACACACTTCCCCGGCCCAGGGCGCCCCCGAGAGAACCGCAAATACACGCTTCTGTGGCCCAGGGCGGCCGCGGTGCAACGCGGCGCCAAAGCGGCCCCCAACGGCCCGAAGACGCCCCAAAAGGCCTCGAAGGACCACAAAGAATGCCGCGCAGCAGTCCGAAAACACGAGAGATGTCACATGTCACGGACCTCTTAACAGTCAAAAACCCACGCGTCGCCATATAGACCACTGCTCCGGCAGGGGGGCGGACCTTGCCGCAGGCACTTATAATTTACATGTTAGCGATGCGACTGTGCTCGGCGGCCGTGCCGCCCGCACTTTGGGTGCGCCCGGAACTCTCGCATTGGCAATCCCCTCTGTTTGGTTGCGCCGCTGTGCTCGGATATCGAAAAAGCATTTACCGCTGACGCGGGCACGCGGCACCAGGGACTTCATTTTTCGAACAAGGAGGGTGGACGAGGTAGGACGACGGACGGTGGAGCAGGGAGGCAAAAAGGAACGAGGAATAATAAGGGAGGTGGGAAGGGGCGCTCCCCCGCCCGAGCCGCGGACGCTTTCGACACCATCCAGGGGAGGGAAGAAAGGAAGGGGAACGGAGCAAGGGCGAGGACGACGACGGGAAGCAACTGTCCCGGGTCCGCATATAGCCATATGTCTGCGACTGGGGTGCGCGCGCTTTCTTCGAGGCGCTTCAAGCAGGACCCATGCTGAATTCACTAATTCCTCAAAACTGTGTGAACACTCTGTCCTCTGTTCCCTCTCCTATACAACGGCCTCATAACAGAGGGGCAGTGGATTCCAACTTGGAGCCACCCTGCGGCCCTCTTCTCGCCATCGCTCGGACGGCCATTCGCCGTGCCTCTGTCGATTCCGTTCGTGCATTTTTTTTTGTCGCGAGAGGATCCCAGGTGCTCCTCGACGGTCCTTGCCGAGAAAAAAATGAGCACGTCCGAGCGATGCCGAGTACCTTCCGACTCCTCCAGGCGGAGTTGGACCAGAGAGCAACCCTGCGGCCGCCTTCTCGCCATCGCTCGGAGGGCCGTTCACCGTGCCGCTTTCGATCTCGTTCGTGTATTTTTCCGCGAGATGATCCCACACGCACCTCGATGGTCCTCGCCGAGGAAAAATGCACACGTCCGAGCGATGCCAAGTACCTTTCGACTCCGCCAGGCGGAGTTGGACCAGGGGCTTCCCGGGCCCCCTCTTGGAGCCACCCTGTGGCCCTCTTCTCGCCATCGCTCAGACGGCCATTCCTCGTGTTATTCGGCTCCGCGCGTGTATTTGTTCGCCAGATGATCCAGGATGCTCCTCGATTGCCCACGCCGAAAAAAATACACTGGTCCGAGCGATGTCAAGTCTTGGTGCCACCACTGGGGCCCCTCAGGGCTGCCATCCACGGGGCCCCCAAGGGCCCCCCCTGCATGGCACGGGAAGCTGGCGCTTCCGACTCCGCCAGGCGGAGTTGCACTACTTGGGGCTACCAGGGGGCCCTTTTGGTGGCCTTCCTGCGGGGCCCTCCCGGGGCGTCGGACGAGAGGGGGGCCTTGTAAACGGGGGCGTCACGAATCGGCTCACGTAGCCGGTTTCCCCGGCGCCTCCCAGCGCCGGAGGCGCTCGGAGGAAGCGCCCGGCGGCGGGGCCGAACCCCGGCTGCGTGCGGCAGACCTTGCACCCCCCCGCCGTTCCCCCTTCCCCTAACTCCCCTCCTCCGTGTGTCCGACCCAGGTAGGCGTGGGGGGCGCCTTGTTTCTCCCCACCAGGCCTCGATCCCTCCCGAGAGTGGGCCCCTGCCTGCTGAGAGGGGCACTCCCTTGCACCATGCATCGGCGGCGAGCGAGGGGGGGAAACGAGGAGGAGGAGACCTTCTCGGAAGGCGGCGGGACTTCTCAGAAACCCTCGCGCCTTCGTAGAAGTTTCGCGTGTCTTCGGGGAAGGCTTAGGAAAGTTACCAAAAAAGCCCGGGGCCTTCCGAGCCTTCTGAGAAGGCCCGCCCCCCGCAAGGGCAGGAGGCGGACGCAGTCGGGCACGGAAGGCCCGGGGATCCTCGCAAGCCCGAGGGCCCCTGGAGGATTGCGCCCAGCACCGCGGCCGTGCCAGTGCGCTACAGAGCGCTCCGGAGCGTGCTCCCGTAGCTATGCTATACCAGGGGATGTGTGAGAGAGCGTGATCCACCGCCGCTTTACTGTGGAAAATTGCCGCCCTTTTCCTCCGGAGCCCGGGGGTCCGAAAAAGCCCGAGGGCCCCTGGAGGATTGCGCCCAGCACCGCGGCCGTGCCAGTGCGCTACAGAGCGCTCCGGAGCGTGCTCCCGTAGCTATGCTATACCAGGGGATGTGTGAGAGAGCGTGATCCACCGCCGCTTTACTGTGGAAAATTGCCGCCCTTTTCCTCCGGAGCCCGGGGGTCCGAAAATCCCCCCCCTGCTGGAACCCTCCCCCCCCCTCTTTTCACCCGGCCAAACCCCCCCCTCCCCCCGCCCCCCCCCGCACCCCCCCTCGAAATCGAAAACGAGGGGGTCACCACACCCGTTCGAAACCATCCCCCCCCCCTTTCCGAAACCGGTGGGGAGGGGAGGGGGTACCTGTTCGCGAAACCCCTTCCCAACCCCCCTCATCACCTACAGAAAATGCCACGCGCCCCTTACCACAACTCGACCCCACTGTTGTTCCCAGCACCACTGTCCTCACCACCACTGTCCCCACTGGTTCCACCACCGCCCCTACTGTCCCCACCAGTGCCACCACCACTGTCGCACTGTCCCCTTCTGTCCCCACCACTGTTCCCACCACGGTTCCACTCTCCCAACTTTCTCCACGACTATCCCCACTGTCCCCGCTGTCCCACTGACTCCTCCGCTGTCCCACTGAGCTGTCCCACTGTTCCCACCACTGTCCCCGCTGTCCCCACCACTGTCCCCACTGTACCTCTGTCCCATGTTCCCACCGCCGTCCTCGCCACCGCCTTCACCACTGTCCCCACCACCACTGTACCCTCCACTGTCCCACTGTTTCCACCACTGTCCCACTGTCCCCACACCACTGTCCCCACCACCGCCGTCCCCACCACTGTCCCACTGTCCCCACTGTTCCCACCATTGTCCTCACCATTGTCCCCACCACTACCGATCCCACCAACCACCCACCCAAATGTCCCCACCACTGTACGTGTCCCTCACCCCTGTCCCCACCACCACCCGTCCCACTTCTGTATTCTTTTTTTTTTTTATTTTTTCCTTCTTCTTTTTTGTTCTTTAAATTCTCCGCACACCTCGGTGTTCGAGGGGGGGGGGGCAAAGAGTTCGAACCGGTAATGACCCCCCTCGGTTTTCGATTCGAGGGGGGGGGGGGGGGGGGGTTCGAACGGTAGTGTGAGAACCCCCCCCCCCTTCTTCATGATGAACGGGGGTGGGGGGGGGGGGTGGGGGGTGTTCGAACGGTAGTGACCCCCCGTTTTCAGAGGGGGGGGGGGGAGGGGTTCGAACCTGGGGAGGGGTTAGGACCCCCACCACCCCCCCCGGTTTTCCGCCAGCAGCGGTAGAACACGCTCTTTCGGATGTGTCGACCCCTATCCCAGGCTTCCTGTGGTTTTCCACTGGGCCAAAAACTTGGGGCCCAACCCTCGGATGAGATGGGTGCGCGTGCATGCTCGATAAGGGTGCGTCCGAATAGCCTCCTTGGGGTGTATCCCAGGGTTTCCCTTCTTTTCTGAGCGGCTTCGTTTTGCGTCGATCGGGGATGGACAGAACCCCCTTTGGCGGAAACGTGGATTAGTGAAAACGACCTCGGGGCCAAAACTGGCGGGCGCAAGCCTGGAAAACCGACGGCCGCGGCGCCCTCTCGAGAACCGCAAACGGACAACTCACAAATCGACGTGCCAGGGTGGGGTTCTGTAAATGGAGGAGGGGGAGGAGGAGGAGGAGGAGGAGGAGGAGGAGGAGGAGGAGGAGGAGGAGGAGGGCTGGCGTTCCGTCCGTGGCGGCCTGCTGGCGGTCCAAGATCGGCGACACCCAAGGGCTGACCGAACCCACTTGAGCGAAGCAGGCTTTCGTGAAAGCTGACAGTACTCCACGGAGCGCGCGGTCCCGCACTCCGAGCGCACCCAGGCGGATTTTGGAATCGACGTCCAAACACAGCCGCATGCATCCGGCGAGACGCACGTCGATTGGCGAAACTGGTTGGGGTCTGCACCAGTACACTGTAATGCCGATGTCTGGTGCGACTTGTCTGAGAGACCGGCCTCTCAGCGCCCGATGCACACAAAAGCGGCCCTGGGCAAGAGAAGCTCTTGCGCGGCTGCAGGGCAGGCGCGGGGGGGCCAAGCCCAAGCGCGCAAGCCGCTGCTCCGCAGCGCATGCAGCGATTGGGGGACCCCAGTGGGCACGCACCAAAGGTCGGCGGCGAGCCCGGGGGGAGATGAGAAGGGGCGGGCCTTAATCTCAGAAGGATGCGGGGCTCCTCAGAAGCCTTCCAGCCTTATGAGAAGCTGTCAATGCATAATAAGTCGGGCATGTCCCAACCAGGAGGGATATTCCCAAATAGTAAGAAAACAGCACGGGCACGACTTTTTGACTATGTTTTGATCATTGTCAAATAAGTGCGCCCACGTTTTTAGACGTGTTCTCCAAGCTCTGTCTGTAGGAGGACATGCCCGACCTCTTAAATCGGGCATGTCCCCCTCCACGCGAACTTTTGAAGAAAAATCAAAACATATTGAAAACATTTCAAAACATAAAAAAAGGCTCCCAGACTCCCAGACTCTTTGCGGACTAGTCTCAGACGGCCTGCAGGCCCCCCGAGCCTTCTGCGCTTTGCCCGAGGCCCCTGGGCCGGCCCTCGGAGCAGAGCGAAGTGAGAAACCAACATCGGCAGCGAGCGAAGAGGGAAATGAGAGGGGAGACGTAAGACTCCGGTACGGGGGACTTGGGTTGGCCTGACGGGGGGCCATCATCAAAATGACGAGACACAATCTGAAACTTGACGCGGGCTCCCGCTGCAGACATCCCACGAAAACGAAACCGTCAATATCCAGGACGCGCTCGTCAAGAAAAGGTCGGCAAACCCGAGTTCCAGCTTACTCGAGTCTTACGTTTCCCCGAATCTTACTCGAGTTCCTGCTCAGAAAGCGGCGGGACTTCTCAGAAGCCCTCGCGCATCCTGCGGGGTTTTGTCTGTTTTCGGGGAAGGCTTAGGAGCCTTCTCAGAAAACCGGGGGACTTCGGAGCCTTCTGAGAAGGCCTTCTCCTTCTGACTTCCCCCCCTCGCTCGCCGCCGACAGCAGCTCAAAATCGGTCCCCAGGTCCCTCCCGGGGTCCAAACGCGCCGGCTTTCCGAGCTGCGTCCAGCCGTGGCGACGAGGGGGCCTCCCGAAGGCCGACTGCCGTTGTCTCAACTCGCCCTCCTCGGGCACTATACTACGCGCAGCCGACGAGAGCCCAGCCCAGACTGGAGGAACGGCCCCAGCACCGAGGGATCGCGTCGGAGGTCTGGGGGAGGATCCCCCCCCTCCCTCCGGACGGCTCCCGTGCCCTCCCCCCTATGCGCCGCGGGGCACTGTCCGCGCGGGCCCCAGCGCGGCGACGGCGACGACGACGACGCCGACGACGTTGGCGACGACGTGGCCGTTGACGACGCCAGTGTGCCAGCGTTGGCGTTGACGACGACGTTTAAGTTGACGTTGACGACGCTGAAGTTGACGTTGACGTTGCCGACGACGTTGACGGTGACGACGTTGGCCATCTACGGCGACAACAGAACCAGAAACCTTCCGAACCGACAGTGAAACCGAAAACGACCGAACACGATTGTAGGAGGGCGCCGCGACGCAGCAACCACGCAATAACCGACCGAACCGAACCGACCGAACGCAACCGGCTGCGACGCAGCCGAAACGATCGAACCGCAGCCCCCCCTGGTAAGGTGACGGCATTGGGTGAGGGAATACTGGAAAAGGAATCCAGGGTCTGGAAGCCGTTGGAACTCCCATCGTGGATTGGCCACGGATACCACTGCAGCCCTCATCAGACAAGGAATCCTCCAGGGTCTGAAGCCTCCCGCGCACATTCCTTGATCAACACCCCCCACGTGTGAAAGAACCAAGACGTGAGAGGTCTAGGGCTTTCCCTGCCGGGCCTCCGCGAAGGCCCGGCAGAACTTGCAGGCCTTGCTGGCCTTGCGATGCAGGTGGCACCTCGGCACCTCCGCGTGCCGCCCCGAGACAGCCGTCGGCGTTGGTGCCGGCGCCCGTGCCGGCGTCGTCGCCGCCGCTGTCGTTGTCGCCGGTTGTCGCTGATCTGGGTCGCCATCGCAATGTTCGCCGTGGGTCGTCGCCGCCGCCGTCGCTGCCGTTCGTCGCCGTCGCTGTCGCCGCTGCCTCCACCGCCGCCGACGCCGCTGGTCGCCGCCGCTGCCGCCACCGCCGTCGCCGTCCGTCGTCGTGCGGGGATGACGAGGTGCCCGTTCCGCTACTCCCCAGGCCAGGACTTTGAGGAGGATCCGCCGTGGCGACGAGGAACGGGCAGAGGTACCCGCATCTCTTTGACGTCCGTCGCCGCCGCCGCCGCCTGCGCCGCCGCCCGTCGCTGCCGTCGGTCGCCGACAGCCGCCGCCGATGCAGGTCGCCGCCGCCGCCAGCATCACCGTTTGTCGGCCGCCGACACTGTCGCCACCGCCGCCGCCGCCGCCTGCGCCGTCGCCGTGAGGGGAGGTCAGGTTTTCGGGCCATTACTCGGCTCTTCGGCAGCCGTTCGGAACGACCTGGCGAGGCGCAGCTTTTGGAAGTCATCCCGAGGCTGGAAAACTTTTCTGGCGACCGACGAAGACGCCCGAAAACCTTGGACCTCGGTCGGTCGCTGCCAGCCCTCGCCGCCGCCGCTGGTCGCCGCCGCTGCCGCCACCGTCGCCGTCGTCGCTCGGGCACGAAATAGGTACACATACCGCTGGTCGCCGCCGCCGCTGGTCGCCGCAACTGGTCGTCGCCGCCGTCGCCGCCGTCGCCGCCGCCGCCGCTGTCTGCGCTGGTTTGGCATGCAAAAAAAGCGGGTCCTGCGGGAAACGGCTCCTGGGCCCCGGGGCTTGCCCCAGGACCAGTTCGTCAACCTGAATTGTTTTTCTGACATTCCCAAGGCCCGTGCAGGGCCCGCTAACTGATTGCTCGTGTTTGGGTTTACTTTTGCAAGCATTTAGCTACCCTAACGAGCTGAACTAGCTTGCGGCCAGTGAGTGCAGCTCGTCATCCTGAGTCGTTTTCTAACGGCCTGCAGGTCCCGTGGAGGGCCCCAGGAACCCCAAAGTGGCAAAGCCGAGGGCGTTCCACTACTCGCAGAGTGCCTACTCGCAAACGCTCCGAAAAGCAGCTTGTTGCCTCGACGCAGTGTATTGTAATGTATCGACGCGCTTTTGTCTAGAGGCTTCGGGACCTTCTCCAAAGTTGAGCATGTCCCCCTACTCGTGGATGTTTGGTGAGAACTGTTTACATCTTCAAAAACACATGCAAAAAGCAAAGCATTGCCCCCAGACTATTTTTTGTTACTTTTCTCGCATCTTCCTCGTGTGCAGGGACACGCCCGACTTAACCTCAGGCCCGAGGCTACCCCCCCCCCACACAACCTCAGGCCCGAGGCTACCCCCAACCTCAGGCTACCCCCCCCCCCAACCTCAGGCTCGAGGCTACCCCCAACCTCAGGCCCGAGGCTACCCCCCCCCCACAACCTCAGGCTACGCCCGACTTAACCTCAGGCCCGAGGCTACCCCCCCCCCCTCAGGCCCCCGACTTTTCTCGAACCTTCTGCGCTGGGCCCGAGGCTGCCCCCCCACACAGCGCCAGCCGTTTCCCTCGAGACCCGCCTCCTGCACGGCGAACGGCCGCCGCCGCCGCTAATTGCCGGCGCGCTGGTCGCCGCCGGCCGTCGCCGCTCCCGGACGGCATCTCGGCATCAGCATCGGCTGCGAGCGAGGGGAGGATAGGAATGAGGAGGAGGAGGCCTTCTCAGAAGAAGGCAGGACTTCTCAGAAGCCCTCGCGCCTCCTGCGAGGTTTTTTTTGTACTCGGGGAAGGCTTAGGACCCTTCTCAGGAGGCCGGGGGACTTCCGAGCCTTCTGAGAGGGGCCTTCTCCTTCTCACTGCCCCCCCTCGCTCGCCGCCGACAGCAGCTCAAACTCGGTCCCCAGGTCCCTCTTGGGGTCCAAGCGCGCCGGTTTCCCGAGCTGCGTCCAGCCGTGGCGACGAGGCCCCCTTCCCCCCGAAGGCCAACTATAGAGGCCGCCTCGTAGATTGACGAACCAACAACACACACCCATACCCATAGGGGGGTCGGAGAGGGCTATGGGTGCATGTTGTCGGATGGGGGTCCCCGCTCGAACGGGAGCGCTCCCTAGGGTCCGACAACCCGCACCCATACCCATAGCCAGTCCTCCTCCCAACGACCCCCTTATGGGCATGGGTGTGTGTTGTCCGTTCGTCATAGATGGGGTCTGATCAGACGGGGTCGGAGGATCGCGCCGCATCGCCAATGCATCAGCGATGAAGCTCGATGTGGCCCGACTTTCTGCAAGCCGACGTCGCCGACGAACCGCAGACGTCGCTGATGTATCGACGATGCATCGGCGGTGCATCGGCGATGCGGCGCGATTTTTCGACCCCGTCTACTCGGAACCCATCTAGGAGGCCTAGAAACTACCCAGGACATAATAACACCCTTCAAGAACGTGAGACCCTCCGCCGACCCTAACGCACAGAACATCTGAGGGTACCCTCCCCAAGGGTGCACCAAAAAAACATCAAACAAACACGAAAAACATTAGGGAACCCTCCCCGAACCGACCTCGATCTTATAATTACCTCGGTCCGACTGTAACCTGGAATCGGCGATGCATCGCCGAAGGATCCGCGATATGCCCCCGATGGCGAATCTGCACGTTCCTGGGAGGGGCGGGGCGCTGAGGCGTAGCTGGCGACGAATGGGCGATTTGGAGTCGATGCTTGTCCCCTTGGGCCATTCCCCCCCCCTCGCGTTCCCTCCCCGAACCGACCTCGATCGTATACCTCGCTGGGACTCTGACAATGCCGCCTCAACTCGCCCGCCGCTGATGATCGTCGCCATCCAATGCTGGGAAAAAACTGAACTGCAACATCGCAAACAATCACGCCCAGAGCCCTGGACCCCATCTCTCTGCGCCACTTGTCGAGTTGGATCGATCTGTGAGGGGCCCGGGGCCCGGAGCCTGCAACCTGGCGAAAACGCCAGTTTTGAAAAAAATGCAACGCCAGGCTCTACTGCAGTGATCGCTGTGACTTGCAACAATTGCAAGCTGGTTGCAGCCCGCTTGCAAGGCACTCGCAGGTGGTTTGCAAGCCCACCCTGCCGCTTCAAGTTAATTAATGCTGCGACTCACTAGGCCCCGAGCAACTCGGCGGAGCTGCAACCCACTTGCAGGCGCCTTGCAGGCGGGTTGCAACCCCCCTTTGCAACTGTTGCAACTGTTGCCAGTCGAACCGGCCACTGCAGCAAGGGAATATCTTGAGCAGGGACCGACGGTCCCGGCATTCGTATAGGCCTACCATGACATGTTCGTGAAACCCAACACAATGTTCTAAGACAAACAAAAGGGTTCTTAGCAAATAAGCCCGATGTGATGAAACAGGACAGTCTCGGCCAGAAATGTTCTAAGAACATGTCGTGGAAACCACAGAAAGGTTCCTAGAACATTGTTTGGTAGGCCCACGCCAGGACGCTTCGCCACTGCTTGAAGCTCGCCCGCCGCTGCTGCTCGTCGCCAGCGGCGGTCGCCGCTGGCCGCCGGCCGCCGGCCGCCGCCTCTGGCGCGGCGTCGGCGGGCGCGTCGCCGGCACCCGCCGCGCCGACCCCAGGCTGCGGCGCCTCCGCCGCCGCGGCGGCGGCCTGGGCTCTCTCGCGCACCGCCCCTCCTCGTGGCCGATCGCCTCGCCTATTTGAATATATCCAGATGCTTCGCATTCGAACTAAGATTTTATTGTCATTCTTATTAGCATCGTAGTGCAACTCATATGTTTAGTATGATCTTTTTATTACAACTAATTAATACTCTTATCATTCGTACTTTCATTAGTATTATTATTTTTGACTTTGACAAGAAATCGCGACTTCGGAGGTCTGAGTCCCCAGATCGTCCAGACCTCCATAGGAGAAAAATAAACGCCATAAACGTAAACTTTTGGCGCTCCGCGCGGATTTCTTGGATCCGCGTCGAGCACCCCCAGTGGCGCCTCCGGCGCCGCCCCTGGCGCGCTCCTCGCGCCAAGGCGGGGGGATTCAGCGCAGATCCAAGAAATCCACGGCGGACCGTCGACAGTTCATGTTTATGGCGTGCCTTGTTCTTCTACCCTTAGGTCGGGCATGCCCCCCTACAGGTGGTCTTTGATGAAAAAGTAGGCATACCCTCCAAAGTGCTTTTAAATAGTCAAAAATGAAAAATGTGTCCATATCATTTTTTGACTGATTTTGAATATTCCTCCTGCACATGGACGCGCCCGACTTGCTTATACTTCAGCCTTCTGGAAAAAAACGTCAGGACGGCCAGGCTACGAGGCTGCAGGATCGAGCTTCGAGGGTCGAAGGTTGAGGCTTTGGACGTTCTGGCATCTCCTCTGGAGATCTCTGGGGACCTCTGGAGAGGCATCTGGAGACATCTGCTCGGGCGTTGGCAGAACTGGGCTTAGTGGGACCTGGTTTAGTGATGTGTGCTGCGGGGCGACCCCCCCGCCCCGTGCCACTAACCAGAACTGCCGCCACCCGACAAAAAACACCAGCTTCGGCAAACCTGGTTCAGTGATTCTGGCGCATTTAGGGGCTCTGGGGCCCTACTACTAGCCCGGTCCCCTTACCTGGGGTCCTGGCTATATCCGATCTGCATCTGGGCACCGCAAGGGACCTCTCAAATGGAGGCGTTGGTAACAGCCTGACGGGCGCCTTCGTGCTATGACCCTGGGTTCACGGCCACCCGCCGACGAGTTGTGAAGTCGCGTCGCGCACCGTGAAAGCCTGAACGCTGAGTAAAATCCCCGAGGCAGCGGCAGAATTGGCGCCACTCTTGAAACATGTGCGCGCGGAATCCCCATTGCGCGGCTCCCCCCAGGGCCGTAGGCGACCCGAGGAGGAGGAGGAGGAGGAGGAGGAGGAGAGGAGGAGGAGGAGGAGATAGGAGGAGGAGGAGGAGGGAGGAGGATGAGGAGGAGGAAGGGAGGAGGAGGTGCAGGAGGAGGAGCGAGTGAGGAGAAGGAGGAGGAGGAGGGAGGAGAGAGGAGGAGGAGGAGGAGAAGGAGGTGAGGAGGGAGGAGGAAGGAGGGAGGAGAGGAGGGAGGAGTAAAAGGAGGATGGAGGAGGAGGGAAGGAGAGAGGAGGAAGAGGGAGGAGGAGAGGAGGAAGGGAGGGAGGAGGGAGGAGGTAGGAGGGAGGGGAGGAGGGAGGGGGGCGGGAGGAGGGGGATAGGGAAGAGGGCTGAGGGCGGACAGATGGGAGGGAGGGAGGGGAATGAGGACGGGCCGCCTAAACCCTTCGGAGAAACCCTCCGATCCCCATGACTGTTCCTGCCCCTGGGCTGCATCCATGCACTGCCCCCGTCCCTCCCAAGGAAAAGTACCACGGCCCGAGCCGCATCGATTCGTGCGGGCCCCTGGGCCGGCACCTCCACGTCCGCTCTCAAAGCCAAGCTCCGAGCCCTCCTCCTCCTCCTCCTCCTCCTCCTCCTCCTCCTCCTCTCCTCCTCGCTCCTCCCTCTCCAGAAAACCCATTTCCCTCACCCTCCTCCTTCCTCCCCTCACTCCTCCTCCTCCCCTCCTCCATCCTCCCTCTAACTCTCACCCTCCTCCTCCTCTTCCTCCTCCTCCCCCTCCTCCTCCTCCCCCCCGCCCTCCCTCCTCCCCCCTCCCTCCCCTCCTCCTCCTCCTCCTCCTCCTCCTCCTCCTCCTCCTCCTCCTCCCTCCTCCTCCTCCCTCCTCCCCTCCTCCTCCTCCGCCTCCTCCTCCTCCTTCCCCTAGGCACGATCCACCGCGGCGACGGCGGCGACAGCCTCCGAAGACCGTCCGCAAAGCTCCGAGGAGCTCCGCGGCTTCCCGCGGTCGGCCGCGCCTGCAGCGGCGGTATCAGCGGCGGGAGCCGGGACCCCAGCGAGCCTTCCGAGGGCGCCGGCGGCCCCCCCGCCCCCCCCCCCCCCCCCCCCCCCCAAATGGCGACGTGCCCCTGGTGAGGCGGGGCATGGGGACCATGTCAGGTCGGACGACAAGGTTACGTTGAGGACTCTGGGTAAGGAACCGTTAGGGAGGGAATCCATGGTCCAAAGCCGTGGATTGGCCACGGGAGTCCATGGCCCTCGCAGGATCAACAACAGTCCAGGGTCTGAAGCCTCCTGGGCTCATTCCTTGACTCACGCCCCCACCGTAGTGATGGGGAGGTTACTCCGAGTTTCTTGACAGGCGTCAGGGGGGCGTCACCCCCGCCGACAGCCCCATATGGACCCCCGTCGCGGGCGGCCACCGCGCGCCGAAGGCGCTCCGACCCTTCGTCGCGGCGCGACGACGAGGCGAGGTTGACCCCCGTTGGGGGGGTACCCCCCCACGCTTATTAAACCCAGAGTAGCCTATCAGCTTGCGTAGCTGATTTTCCTGGCGCCTCCTGGAGCCGAGGGCGCCAACGCATCAGGGAAAGCGCCTTGCGGCAGAGCCGAAACAAGCGGCATGCAGCAGACTTCGTAGCCACCACCTTTCCCCATCCCGCTCTTCCGTCCGACCTGGCCATGGTTCCGACCATAGCATGCGCCAAGACATGGTCTCTGGGTCAGGTGGCAACACCTGCGAGTTCTTCGCGGCCACGACTGAAAACGGCTCGGCTGGGTAAAGGGGCGGTTGAGCAAGATAAGCCCGAGATCGAACCCAACACTCAGCGGGACTGTAACTTGGATTCGGCTGGGCTTGGCAGGAATGCCATGACCAAGGACACTGCCTGATTCAACCTCCTCCTCGGAAATACAACCTAACCTGGTCCTTGGGTCGGCCCTCCAAACACGCCCAAAAAAATCTCCAGCGTCGTGCTCCTCCCAATCTGACGGGACGTCCAACGAACACAAGCTCGGGAGAACATCAGGCCGAGAGAAAGCTGTAATCTCTGACGTCCGGCGGTGTTGCTGGATCTGCCTGACGCCGCGGCCTGGTCAGAGCGTTCCGCAGAACGCTCTGAGAGCGTCGCGGAACGCTCGGGGGCGACGTGTGCCGATCCAACAGCGCGTGCTCCTCTTGGTTGGTGCTGGGGCTCGAGGGCGGCCCCCGCGGAGGGTGCTGCGCCAGGATTCGGAACAGCGCAGCGCCAGAGATCTGGGCCGTCGCAGGCTTCGGGAGCCGAAGGGGTCACACCTCCAGACTTCTGACACCGCCCCCAAAATCAGAAAAGCGCAGAAAGACACGTTTTTTTTGATCTGCAGGGCGAGAGCGGGCCTCTTCCGCGAAAAGCTCCGGAAGCGCAGAGAGACACGCAGCGGAGTGAAGGGGCCGAACGGTCTTGCGCCACCCCTGGGTGCGTGGGTGGAGTCGGGTTCTTTGGCGCGGATTCTGCTTGTTTGATGTGTGCTGTTTGCTGTTGGATATCTGTTGTCGTTTAATGCTTGCTGTGTGGTTGGTGTGTGTGTGTGTGTTGTGTGTTTGCGTTTTTAGTTGCTGTTTGCTGTTTCTTATTGTTGTTATTGGGTGCTACCACGACTCAACACATATTATTGCGGGCTCCACTATATCCGCCTTGGCGCTCTCGCCTCGGCGCCAGCTGAATTCCTTTGAAGCTCACGCTCCAATCTTTCAATGGACCCAAACTGGCTCCCCATCACCAGCAACGCTCCCGTGCGATACTTCCTCACAGGTTACTCCGAAAGGCCCTGGCTAGAAAGGGCCCGAGACAACGCGCTCTCGCATGCGACTTCCTGGCAATTTAGCACCACGTGGGGTTCCTTCAGAGCAATCTTGCCGCGACTTGCGGATGCTGGAACGGCTGGTTCGCCTGAGACTTCCTCGCAATTGGCCATCACGATGGGGGCCTTTCAGAAACGGGTCGCTGCTACTCACGGATGCCGGAACGGCCTTTTCGCCTGAGACCTTTTCGCAATTCAGTACCACAAAAGCGCCCTTCAGAGCATCGATGCTGCTACTCGCGGATGCCGGAACGGCAGTCTCGCTTGAGACTTCCTCGCGCTTCAGCACCGAGGGAATCGGTCAGACCAATCCTGCCGCTACTTGCAGAAGCCCCAGGAGGCACCAGGACGCTCCAGGGATATGTGCTCGGGGCGCGCGTGTCGTCCCTCCCGCCCCCAAGGAGGCCCCAGGAGGCACTTGTATCTATCAGGATCTGTGTGTTCGGGGATCGCTTCTCGTCCTCTCCGCTCCCAGGAGGCCCCGGGCGACACCGTTTTGGATTGGGATCTGTGTTCGGGGAACGCCCCCCCCCCCCCCCCCCCCCCCACGCTTAGGCGGGATATCTGGGTGTGGGAATATCGGCCCCTCTCGTGATATAGATCCCCCAAAGAGGGGTGGCATCATGATGTATAAAAGCATGGGGCGTGATGGCGAATTGATTATTGTTGTTGTCGTTGCCGTTGTCGTTGAACTCTCACTTCTGATGAATAATCATTGTTTATCCCCCCATCACCGGTGCATGCTTCTTTTTTACATCAAAGTGTGCCCCTCGACGCTCGCGCCCTGTTTTTTGACAGGGAAGGTCTTCGTGCTCAAGCTGTGCCTCTGGCCCCCTGGATTACAACAACAACAACAATCATTTAAGACTGGGGACACTCCGTTCTCACCAGTGCCAGGGGTTTCATAGGAGGCGGGCAATACCACCACTTTGTGGGGGGGCCGGTTCAAGCTCTACCAAGTTTCCAAACGACTCTTCGCCACCACCCACACCCAGCTTCCCGCCCTATGACGTTCGGACACTTCACTTCGTGGCCTGCGGACGACCTTGGCCACTACACTGACGCATGGGTACAATGACTTGTTGTGGTAACATTTTGTGGAAGCTAGCTTAGTATACGACTTATCCCCCTGTTCCAACCGTTGTTGGAGAAGTTCGAAGCACGTGAAAAAGTTGCTCGCAAAAGCCCGTTTGACAGAAATGTTTAAAAAGTGTTGGGTTTCCTACAAATCCGCAAGAGCGCGCGGGATGAATTTTTGACATTTTTTTTTGAACAACCATGGGTTTTTTGATGTTTTTGTGTTAAAATCGCTACGAACACTAAGGTTTTGAAAGGATTTCGTCTTGCGCGCGCGAATGTCCACCTTACCTTATTTTTTGCAAGGGATTCTTGAAGTTTGGTTATGTTAGAACAAGAAATGTCTACTTTAGCTCATTTTTTGCAAGGGAAAACGGGGGACAACAAAACAACCGGATCTGGACCAACCCGTTTTGCCTGAGACTTCCTCACGAAAATTATGAAAATGAGGCTGCGGCCTAGGCGCGGCGGGGGGGGCGTGCACCAGGGGCCCCAACAATAATTATTCTTAAGAAGAAATAATGTTCAACAACGACAACAACAACAACAACAACAACAACGGCTCCCGCCTGAGACTTCTTCCAAATTTACTCAGTACCCCCGCTCCCATCTGAGACTTCCTCGCAATTTTGTCAGGACCCCCGCTCCCATCTGAGACTTCCTCACAATTTACTCAGGAACGGCGCTCCCGCTTGAGACGTCCTCGCAGTTGAACCAAGACTTCCTCGCAATTTAATCAAGACCCCCGCTGCCGCCGGAGAACCCCTCACATGTTATTCAGGAGTTGCGCTCTCGCCTGCGACTTCATGCAATTTATTCAAAAATCGCGCTCTCGACGCTCAGGAAACACGCTGCGCCAAGGACGCCGTCACAATGTAGTTAATAATCGCGCTCTAGCCATACTCAGGCATCCCGCTTGAGTGTCCCACCCGCCCGACCCGCCCATCAGGGGATCGCCCGCCCGTCGTGGGCTCCCGCCCGAGACTTCCTTCAGGAACGGCGCTTTCGCCCAGAACTTCCTCGAACGTTCACGCTCTTACCTTCCTGCTTCTCCTCCCTCTCCCTCCTCCCTCCTCCCTCCTCTCCTCCCTTCTTTTTCCCTTTTCTCCTCCCTCAACCTTAGCCCTCTCTGGCCTACCCCCTCTCCCTCCTCTCCCTCCTCCCTTCTCCCTCCCCTCTCCTGCCTCTTCCCTCCCTCTGTCTTTCTCTGTTTCCCCCCTCTCTTTCTTTCTCTACCTCTCTTATATGTATTTGTTTCCTCTCTCTCTCTCTCCCTCTCTCTTCACTCCTTCTCTCCTGGCGTTTTCCCTCTTCCTTCGTCCCTCCCCCTCCCTTCCTCCCACTCTCCCTCGTTCTCCCCCTCCTCTTTTTGCAGGGCCCGCACCAATTCCAATGGCGGGCACATGTACGCCCACGAAGGATTGTCCGCCCGTTCAGGTTTGCCCGCCTGTCTAAGCCCGCCGCCCCCCCGCAAAGAGAAAGAATTCCCCCAAGGGTGTGTGATCGAAGACAAAAAGGGCGGGTATCGAGGGTGTGGGGAACTCGTTTTTGAATGACGCACGGGCAAGTAAGAACGAACAATCTGAGAATGATTGTTGTTTGAAGGGGCCCCGGACACACGAATAAATACAAACAAATAAAAGGATCCCCCATATTTTCTTATATGTTCTGGGTTTCTGTCTTACCCAAGGAGGAGGAGGAGGAGGAGGAGGAGGAGGAGGAGGAGGAGGAGGAGGTGGAGGAGGGGAAGGATGGTCGCGAGTCGGAGGGGCACGTCGAGCCGCACCCGCCCCCGCCCGCGCCAACGCCGCGAGGGACAGGCAACGAGGGCCCCGAAGCCGCGGGACGCACACACTGACACTACGCGTAGTGTCGGAGGAGGGGGAGGATGAGGAGGAGGAGGAGGAGGAGGAGGAGGAGGAGAGGAGGAGGAGGAGGAGAGGGAGGGAGAAGGAGGAGGAGGAGAGGAGGAGGAGGAGGAGGAGGAGGAGGATGGGAAGAGGAAGAGGAGGAGAGGAGCAGGAGGAGGAGGAGGTGGAGGAGGAGGAGGAGGAGGAGCAGGAGGAGGAGCAGGAGCAGGAGGAGCAGGAGGAGGAGGAGGAGGAGGAGGAGGAGGAGGAGGAGGGGGAGGGGTCCGAAATCTGTACCTAGCTTCGTTCCGAGGAGCCTCCGCCTGCACCCAGCGCGGCGAGCTCGGGGGGCAGCGGGGGCAGCCGCGGCAACGGGGGCGGAGGCACCGCCGGCCTCGGCGCGGCAGCCGTCGGTCGTCCGTCGTCCGTCGTCGTCGTCGTCGTCTGCGTCGTCGTCGTCGTCGTCGTCGTCGTCGTCGTCGTCGTCGTCGTCGTCTGCGTCTGCGTCGTCGTCGTCGTCTGCGGCGTCGCCGTCGCCGTCGCCGTCGCCGTAGTGTGCATCGTCGTCGTCGTCGCCGTCGCCGTCGCCGTCGTCGATGTCATCGTCTGTCGTCGTCGTCGTGCGTCGTCTTGGTCGTGGCCGCAGTCGTCGTCGGCGCTTGTCGCCGATCGTTGTGCGCCATCTTTGCGGCCGCCGTCGGCGGTCGGTCGGCGGTGTCGTCGTCCGTCGGTCGTGGTCGGTCGCCGGACTCTGGCCGCCTCGCTCATGACGTGCCTCGCCGGCAGACGCCAGGTGGTGACAACATTCTCCGCGCTTCTGCAGTGAGGGTCGCACCTGTCGCGGATTCGCTTGAGCGCAGACCTTCCCCCCGAGGGACCTGGTTCCCTGGCACAGTGTGTGCCCAGCAGGAAGCAACAGCGGCTCGCGCAGGCTCCAGGACCGAAGCGGACCACGGGAGGCGCACCGACTCCACTCTGCACGACGGCGGCACAGAGGTGTCACCGTTCTGACGCGGCTCCCTTGAGCTTCTTCCAAGCCGTGGGAAGCTCAGGCCAGCACCAAATGGGACGTTCCCGTGCACATCTCGCAAACGATAAGATGCGCGGAGAAGGACCGCTATTGTGAATGGCGGCGCCGCCGCGGTCCACCTGGGCACCGGCCAGCAAGGGTAACATTACGCCGTGGAGAGAAGCCCTGTGTCAAAGGGAGCGTGCCAGCATGCAGCGGCGAACCCGGAGGGAAAGTGGGAAGCGGCGGGCCTTCTCAGAGAGCTCGGAACTCCACCGGCCTTCGGAGAAGTTTTCTAAGCCTTCCCCGAAAGCGCAAGAAACCTATCAGAAAGCGCGAGGGCTTCTGAGAAGTCCCGCCGCCTTTTGAGAAGGCCTTCTCCTTGTGAATTCCCGCTCCCCCCCGGGCGCGCCGCCCGAATTGGGTTTTTGGGTCGTACTTCGGGCTTCCAGCGGCCGTTCGGGACGATCCCGGCACCCTCGGAACGCTCTCGGCGAGGCGCAGCCGCTGGAACGCACCCCGAGGCTGGAGAACCGCCGAGCACCGACAGAACACGCCCGAGAACCTCGAGCCCCGAGCCTCGAGAGCCGACGCCCTCGAAGCCTCCCTCGCTCGCCGCCGAGGCACTTGGCGTGCATGGCGTCCGTGCCGCAATGAGAACCGCACACGGCGCACACGGCACGGCGCGCACGGCACGGCACGGCACACGTGGCCTTCCGGAGCCACGGCACGGCACGGCACGGCACTTTTTCTCCGAGCTCTCATGAAGGGGCCCACAGACATACAAATAAATACACTTCAATGAAACGATTCCCCCTATTTTCCTATATTTTCTAGTTTTTTGTCTTCCTCCCCACTTCCTATATTTTCCCATCTCTTCTGGGGAATCGACGATTAATTGTGTCTGTGTTTTTTCACCTCCTGAGATCAGTTCAGGAACCGGTGATCCAGGTCGGCGGCGAGTGAGGAGGGGAAATGTTACGAGGGAACAGCTGGGAGATTCTCGTCGGAAGGGCTACGGAAGGGCCGCTGCGCCGGATCAGGCCGCGGATGAACCGGGATTGGGCCGGATTGAAGGGGACTAGCAAGCCGGATTGAACGGGATCAAGCCAGATTCAGCCAGATTTAAGACCAGGGCAAACTCAGAATTTGACCTCCCAGGAGCTGCATCCGAAGCGAGGGGGGAGGGGGCGACTAAGGGGGAAGGCCTTCTCAGAAGGCGGCGGGACTTCTCAGAATGCCCTTGGCCTTCTGAAATGTGTGCTTGCGTCGTCGGGGAAAACTTGAACAACGCTGTCAGAAGGCTGGAGGACTTCCGAACCTTCTGAAAAGGCCCGCCCCTTTTCACTTCCCCCCTTCGCTCGCCGCCGACCAGAAGAGGACCGTGGGCAACTGGAGGAGCCAGACTGCTTCGATTCACGAGGGTGAGGGCGATCACAATGTGTAGCCCCGTTCAAGGCGTCACCAGCCTGGGGCGCAAGGTCGGGGCAGCGTTGGTCTCCTCGATTTGTGATGCAATTCGCGGCGCGGCAGCCAACCCGAGAACCCTTGAAGGGAGCGGAGAAACACGCGCCGCGGCTGTATGATGCATCCCCGCCCCCTGCCCTGAAGACATTGAAATCTTGAGCCACATTGGCTACGGGAGTCGACGAGGAGGAAAACCCACACACCCGGCGTTTTGATTCCCAACAATCCTGTGGTGTTGGGTCCTCGTTTTGAACAGACAACGCCGCGCGTCCCTCCTCCTCCTCCTCCTCCTCCGCAACATCGTCATCGTCATCGTGATCGTCGTCGCCGTCATCATCAACATCATGGCCGTCATCACCATCATCATTATTATCATGGCCGTCATGATCGCCATCATCGTCATCATCACCATCATCGTCATCGTCTTCGTCACACCCCTCACACGTTTCGTGGCCCCATATGGAACTCCACCCTAGGTCCGCATGGCGGCACCGCCCCATTTTGGCACACCCCTCGCGCGCTTCGTGGCTCGTGGCCCCATAGGGAGCGCCACCGAAGGTCCCAGTGGAGCAGTCCGCATGGCGGCGCCAGCCCATCTTGGCACACTCCTCGCACATTTCGTGGCCCCATAGGGACCTCCACCAAAGGTCTCAGCGGCGCAGTCCGCATGGCGGCGCCGCCCTGTTTTGACACACCTCTCACACTTTTCGTGGCCCCATAGGACGTTCCACCTAAGGTCCCTGTGGCGCAGTCCGCATGGCGGCGCCGCCCCATTTTGGCACACCCCTCACACGTTTCGTGGGCTCCTCCTCAGGTCTCAGTGGCGCAGTCGGCATGGCGGCGCCGCCCCATTTGGGCACACACATCACACGTTTCGTGGCCCCACAGGGATCTCCACCTAAGGTCCAAGTGGCGCCATCCGCATGGCGGCGCCGCACTATTATGGCACACTCCTTTTTCACACGCTTCGTAACCCCATGGGGAGCTCCACCTAAGGTCCCAGTGGCGCAACCCGCATGGCGGCCCCGCCCCATTTCGGCACACTCTTCACGCGCTTCGCGGCCCCATAAGGAGATCCACCGCAAGAGATAATAACAACGACGGTGCGTATTCACAACTGCATCTGGTGGGGCCCTTCGTTCGACTAATTTTGTCAACGCGGGTTCCCCGGCACCCGGGTCAATTTTTGATGGTCCTGGCGCCAGGCGAGGCCGAAAGGCGGAGAACGGAAAAAACTTTCAATCGCAATCCTTTCACGACGCGAGCGTGTCTGTGGAGAAGCCAAGAAACAAATCTGTAAGAAAGGAATCGATACTCTCCGTGAAGAAAGCGCAGCGCCTGGTGGTCCAAAGCGGAACGTCTAAGGCGCGTCGAAGGCAGGCGTGGTGCGCTGATCAGGCCTTGAACCAAGATAGCGCAAAGGGCCAGCAAACGTAACCAGCATGGCACTAGACATGGAGCTACTGTTCGAGTCTGGTGCTCTAGCAAGTCCGTCGTGCCTGCACTAGTTGCATCGCAACAGGGGGGCTCTAGTAACCGCCCCCGTCTTACACAGTTACCAGGTCGCGAAGGGACACATTCACCTGGTTTCGGCATGTCCATGGGTTGGCGGACATCAGTCCTTTTCCAATATACTTGAACCCCCTCACGGCGCCAACCGAAAAACAAAAACATTGCACGGCGCCGGCGGCAGGAATGGAAGTACTCCCGCCAGAGCCCGAGCGACTAGCCGACGCAGGCTAACCCATCCCCCCCCGCCCCCAACGATGCGGGATTATTCCAGGAGCGTCTGCTGAAGATCTGCGAACTGCACGGACACAGTCTGGGTCAGCCCGCTCACTAAAGGGCTCTACTAATCGATCTCGCCCGCTGATGTGGTATATCTGCTTTCTGTTTCCGTCCGATCTCGTGACGCAGTCACGCGAGTTACTTCCTCATGTCTGCGTGGGCGAGCGATGCTGTGAGCTCGAAGCGGTCTTCTTCAACTTCTGGCCGCTGACCTTGACCGTGGTATGGACATAACTGATGTGGCCGAGGATTAGCTCTCAGCCCATGCTGCCCTTGGTCACGGGGTCGGCCCGCGTGTCCCGAGTGTCGCGCCAAAGAGAATCGTCGATCTGCTTGGCGTGCGCAACTGGTCGGCTGTTCGCCACAGGTGGCAACCCATGTTGTGCTCGGGCGGTGGCTGGACCGGGTCCATGAGCAGGGCGCTGAAGACGGACGTGTCGTGTATGACGAGGCCTGCAGAGGTCGCGCAAACTCCCCCCCCCCCTCAGCCCCCTGATCTCCTCGGCGCCGCATGCTGCGAGCAGCTCGGAGCTGCGCGAGGATCTGCTCGCGAGCATGTGCGATTACACAGGTGGTGCACCTGTTTGCTGGCGCCGCGGCACTTGCCGAGACAAATGTATACGGCTCCTCTCACGCCGCATCCTGACTCCCACTCGCTCTTGGATGACCCGTCGCTGTGCGCGCTGAGTCGCCTGGATCTGGCGCGTGCTTTGATCTCCTGCAAATCCACAACAACGGAGTTGAGCTGCGTCGCATGACGGATGAGCAACTGTTTCTTGGCTCTCTGCAGGGCGACGATGTCCACTGCACCGTGGTGCTGGGCGCTGGGCGAGCAGGGCGTAGGCCGCTGCTCCTAGGAGGGAGACAAATAGGTCGGGAAGCCAACTTCTGGCTGGCTCGTCAATTTGGGCCTTGACCAGGTCGACGTGTCTGATCGGTATCAGAGCGTCAATGTACTCGTCCTGGTCGAGCAAGACGGTGCCATCGGCACTGCGGTACTGATGCACTCCGCAGTCGGTGAAGTCGTCGTGGTCACCCTTCATTTCGCAGAAGACGCTGTCGATGTGGCTGATAAGCCAGTCGACGTGCTCCTTTTGCCCAGCGATCTTAAGACACGTGCTCGGTCAACG